CCAACCCATGGAAGGCACCGTGAGAGACGGACAACTAGTAGGGGGCACCAAAGGTGAGGACCCCTTGCAGCATTGCCCCCTGACATAAGGGGGCACTACTGGTGTGAGTTTGGTATTTTACAGACCCCCATCACTGTAGGGCAGCCTTTAATGTATTTTTCCTCATGACACTCCTGTGACATAGGAAAGTGCTATTATCTCCATTCTATAGATTCCAAGGCCAGAAGGGATTGTTGTGATCATCCAGTCTGACCTCCTGTGTAACACAGGCCAGAGAACTGCCCCACAATAATCCGTACGACAGATTTCCGAGAAAAACATCCAATCTTGATTTAAAAATTGTCAGTGATGGAGAATCCACCACGACCCTTAGTAAATTGGTCCACTGGATAATTACTCTCACCATTATAGATTTATGCCTTATTTCCAGTCTGAGTTTGTCTAGCTTCAATTTCCAGCCATTGGATTGTGTTATACCTTCCTCTGCTAGACTGAAGGGCCCATTATTAAATATTTCTTCCCTATGTAGGTGTTTATAGACTGTAACCAAATCGCCCCTTAACCGTCTCTTTGTTAAAGCTCAATAGATTGACCTCCTTGAGTCTGTCACTATAAAACAGATTTTCTGATCCTTTACTCATTCTTGTGGCTCTTCTCTGAGCCCTCTACAATTTATCAACATCCTTGGATTGCGGGCACCAGAACTGGACACAGGATTCCAGCAGCATTGCACCAGTGCTAGATACAGAGGGGAACGGAGGGAAAGAGAGACTAAGTGATTTGCCTGAGGTCACACATGGGGTCTGTGGCAGGGTAGGGAATTGAACCCAGAGTCTCCCAAGTCCTGGGCTAGTGCCCTAATCACTGGACCATCCTGACACACCAGCTAAGGCAGGTGACTTGGGAAATGGGGTGAAAGAAAACGTAAGGACCATTAACAGTGAGATAATTACTTGAAGCTTTTTATCATCATCCTCATGAGTCGACTTCTTGCTCCATATTTTTTTGCTGTCCTGAGTCTTTCTTGCATGCTGTTTCTTGCTCATTTATACAGTATTGTGCGGAATTGAATTTGAAATAATCTTATCTGGATTTATTTTGTATTTCGGAACTGGTCAGAAACACAGTGTCTTGCTTTATGTTCAAGTAGCACCTGAAGGTCCCAGTCAGGATCAGGGCTCAGATTTGCTATGCATCATATCTGACCTACTCCTTGCCCTGACAAGTTTACAATCTAGCTTGAGACAAGATACGGTAAGTGGGTGATGGTAACAGTAGGCTGGAAAAGGGAGTGAGAACCAGGGTAACAGTCACAAGATTATGTAATTGGTCTAACAGTGTACAACAGACAAGTTTGCACCATATTGTTTTAACTGTTTTATCCCTCGTCTGCCTGTCATTATTACACGTGAATGGCTTTGGAGAAAAGTGGATGAAAATCCGCAGGAATTATTGAGAGCATGTCACAGGTAAAATTTCTGATGCTGTTGTGCGGGCACATGGTAGCCAGTCTGTCCTGTGATATCTCTTGTTTGTATTCTCATGTTCTAGTTCTGTGTTGTCTTATAACATCCATCCCCTATTCCTGCTTGAGTAACATGAACCTTTAGAAATGAGTTAAGGTTTCCAACATATGGTTCCATTTGTACAAGGCTAGAAAGAGTACAACTGCCTCTGAAGAGAAAATGAACATTGGACAGAATGAACGTAGAGTAGTTCTGTAGCAAGATAGCCCTCACTAAATTGTAATCCAAACTGTTACACAGGAGTTCCTAGTTGAGGAGTTCTAGAAAAATACAAAATCCACAGGAAAGTTTCAGAAGCCATAAGGAATAAATGTTTAAAGTGGCTTGTTTTTGGAGATCAGGAGGAAGGCAGTAGGAGAGAAGATGGGTGGGGAAGAGGAGATGTGTACAGAACATTTGGCTTTTCTATGGGCTTGTTTAATTTGTGAATTAAGCAAAAGGTGTGTCTAAAAAAAATTAATAAATTTACTATTAGTTAAAAGATATGGAGTTGCAGTGCAAAGACCAAGGCCTTGTCGACAGTGCCACTTACAGCGCTGAAACTTTTTTTGCTTGGGGTGTGAAAAAACACCCCCCAGAGCGATGCAAGTTTCAGCACTGTAAAGTGGCAGTGTAGATAGTGCACCAGCGCTAGGAGCCACGCTCCTAGCGTTGGTAGCTATTCCCCTCACGGCGGTGGTTTTATTACGGCACTGGGAGAGCTCTCTCCCAGAGCTGGAGCCGCAGCTACACAACCACGTTAAAGTGCGTCAGCTGTGTAGACATAATCAAAGTCTCATGGATAAATAAATAGTAGCTTTGATTATAACTAAAGTGCCCTTCAGAATGCCCTCCTTTGGCAATTTTAGTGATTCTGCTTTTTTGGGAAAGGAAGTTTGGAAAGTGTGATACAATCACAATGACATCCATTTGAAGATTGTTGCTGTATTTCATAACTGAACAAAAACTAGAAGTATCTTCATAGTCTTTAGACAGATGTTGGATATGCTATCTAACCATTCTTGGATTGCTAGCTTTTTTAACAGTAGTTTTCCTGCTCACATCATAACCACAACAAACCAGAAAGTAATCTATAGATTTTGTCCATTGCCTCTTAGTGTGACTGTTGTATTTATAACAGCATTAACAACCTATACTTAAAGTGTTAATGTTACAAAGGTTGCCTTTGAAACTTTAATTCAACCCCCTTGTATGTACGCATTTTAGGGCTGGTCGGCACTGAAAATTTACATTGGCATAGCTATGTTTGTCTGGAGTGTGAAAAATCCATACCTCTGAGAGATGTAGTTATGCTGACCTAACCCCTGATGTAGACCAGGGTAGGTCGACAGAAGAATTAGGTAGATGGTGGTAGGTTGACGTAGCTACAGCCTCGTGGGAAGGTGGATTACTTACGCAGAGGGCAACAGAGGGTCCTGTGGCACCTTTAAGACTAACAGAAGTATTGGGAGCATAAGCTTTCGTGGGTAAGTTAGTCTTAAAGGTGCCACAGGACCCTCTGTTGCTTTTTACAGGTTCAGACTAACACGGCTACCCCCTGATACTTTACGCAGAGGGGAGAACCCCTCCTGTTGGCGTAGGTAGTGTCTACAGCAGTGGTTGCCAATCTTTTTACGCACAAGATCACTTTTTGAATTTAAGATCAACCCAGGATCTACCTCGCCTCTTCCCCGAGGTCCCTCCCGGCTCACTCCATTCCCCCCTCCCTCCATCTCGTGCTCTCCCCCACCCTCCCTCACTTTCACTGGGCTGGGGCAGGGGGTTCGGGTGTGGAAGGGAGTGCAGGCTCTGGGCTAGGGCCGAGGGGTTTGGAGTGTGTGTGTGTGTGTGGGGGGGGGGGGGGGGGGGGGGGGGGGGG